TTAAAGACATAAAATGTAGATAAGTAGAGTCTTAAAGCGCAAAGTACTCTTTGTTGTCGAACCATGGTCGCCTGTGAATCGTCGCGTGTAATTAGACTTAACAATGTCTCTCCTTACGGAACGATAACTGCACCATTTCTGCAAGACACGAGTACACCGTGTATTGATGTCAAGGACACAGGACAAAACGTGAATCGAACCGAACTACCGTAGCCTCTACAGCCGTCATGTACTACTCACTTTTTTTTTGCCCCGCCACGGAGATGTTTCCTTTTCAGGATTTAATGTATGACATCACCCTCACCTCGATGTTTTTTTACATACGTGCAGTGTGCGCACGCAAACGTTTTACGTCTCTTACATAATGTTACTCATTACTTGCGCAAAATATATCTATTTTTGCAACATTCGCGGTGACTTAACCCTTTGTCTGCAAACAAATTTTTAATCTCTCCATCTAACCCAAGTTTTTTTGCTGTTCACTGAAAAGAATATTTACTAAATTTTAATACATATTTCTTTGAATGGTGCTAAGAAAACATTCTCTCTCTCTCTCTCTCTCTCTCTCTCTCTCTCACACTAAATAAATATTTACTCACTAAAAGAAATGATAGAAATAATAGAATTAAATTAATGGTTTTTGTATCAAATAAATATATATTTGCATTTAGTAAATATTTATTTAGAACTACTCAAATAGATATTTATTAAAATTTAGTATTTTTTTCAATGTAGGCTTTCAAAAAAATGTGAAAAAATTTAAACTTTCATAAAAATGTGGAAAATGCAAATTATTTTCAACATCTTTATTATATTATAAATCATTTTTATCTTTGACTGCTGCCAACCTGCGATTTTTAATAAAATTTTAGGAGGGAGAACCACTTCGCTTCTCTTTATTTTGGAGAAATTGGAAAGTGAAATTTTACTTATGTCAAAAGAATTTAGATCGCAGTTGGAGAATTAAAAATGAAAAGAAAAAGAGAAAATATTAACGCATTCTGCGATTTATTTTTTGTCCGTAATCGGAAAGTAGAAAAATACATGTCATCGCCGAATCGGTTTCAAGGGACTCTCAACCGACTTATTTTTCAAGAGCTGAGCTGCTCGATTACAAGAGAGTTGTCCCGCTTATCTCAAGCATTTTTATACGAATGCCGCGTATAATATGTCCGCCTCGTAAACTCGGAGCGGATTATTATCTTAGGATTCCGTGAATTTTGTGTATACTCGAGGATTTCTTCTTCCATAACGTTGGAATTACCGTTGGAACTAAGATTATATAGTGCCGCTTTGCCTCGGAATTGTTGCAATAAAAGTGAAACGAAAACGAGAAATGCTACGACATTATCGAATTGCGCTTATCTCGCGTATTGAGAAACATTTGTCTCACGACGCACAGAGAGATAACCGAGGAATATGGGCTGCCAAATATAGTCCGTTGCAAATCGCACGACGACTGACTCTCGACACGGTGAAATTTTGCATTTTTCCCTTTCTCGCCTTTCGCGTCGCAGGATGAATCTACAAAGAGCTTTGCTGAAGAGCGCGTTAACATTCCAAGGAAATGAATCGTCCACTCGTCTAAATCTTTAAATCGTAAACTTTATCCCAAATTATTATGTAATTCTTTATTTTACAATTTTAATAATTTTCACAATTTTTAATTCTTATACAATATTTTATCGCGGTTCTTATCATTTGACTTAACAACAATATATAGTGTTTTGTTCTTGATAATTGCAAATTTATCTTAATGTTTATTGTGTGACCTCTTTGAGAATATTCTTATGTTCTAAAAATGTATGATTTTTATACAATATTTGATTTTAACATTTCTACTTTTTAAGTTTTAATATATTCAACAAAGTTTCAGTACAGTAATGTTTCATGTCCGTGATGATAAGTCATTTAAATTGTTTACGCATCTATCACTCTAATAAGATTTTTTTCTAAAAATGTCAGATTAACAACGTTGCATCTTCGTCAATTTGTGAGTGACTTAAGCATTATAGACGTGTGAACTAATTATACTTGTATCATTCTTGCTGAGGAAGACTCTAAAGAGAGTCGAAACGTTCAAAATAAAGAATCCAATAAACATCAATCCAATATCTGATTATTGATTGTTTATTAAATAATTGCTCCATTTATCGTTTCTGACTCTCATCCTACTCTTAGCCTACTATATCTTTTTGTATTGTTTAAAATTCGAGAATCCTAATATAATTGTCATTCTTTATCCCAAAATAATTAAACGCGTCTCGTGTTGTTATGCCATAGAATATTACTCGAAAATCCGACGAAAATTAACTCGGCTTTCCCGCATTCGTGTTCGCTTTCGTAACCGTCGTCGGCAGATCTCGTCTCGTTTCCTGTGGCTTTTCTGTTAAACTGCCAAGAAGTTCAGCGACGTATTTGATACCAGATATATCTCGTATGCCCGAAAATACGCGTCCTGTATTTTCGACGGGGGCGTGTATTTCCCTCGGGAGGGAAGGGGGGAGGATCTCTTTTCCGTCTGATCACGTGGCGCCTCGCGAACGCGATGCGTTTCTGCGTGCGTGCAGAAGGAAGAAACGTGCGCAGCCTCCCACGTAGCGCTAACAACAGTTTTAACGGATCGTGCACCCAAGTTCGACAAGTAAGGCCGTGGATCTCTCGCCCACACACGTGCCGTCGTGTACGACTTCGTATGATGACTATTCTTCTCGCGTGTTGTTTCTGTTCAGTCCTTTCGCTACAAAGAACCACCGGTGATTTTCGTCGTACATGCGCTTTGTACGAAGATCTGTCATAATAACTTGTCGAAAATTTTTATTTAGCGACGTACAGAGTACGAATATTCGAAATTGTATAAAAATTATTAATTGTTGAAATTTTGTTTTAGGACGAAATTCCAATAATTTTGATTTTTTTTAGTATAGAAAATGGAGAATTTTTTTAAACTTTTATAAGGAACTATTGAACTATGAAAAGTGCTATTGGAACTATCAGTATTTTTTTTTACATTAATAGAATGTCGTGTTAATTTCATAGATGTGTTTTCTTACCTCAATTGATTAATTTATATATACAATGATTCTTTAAGACAATATTTTTAGGTGCAAATTTTTGTTTACGTTGTTATAATTATGCATTGAAAAAGATCTTTTATTTCATACAAAAATCATTAATTTGATTTATCATTTTTTTTATTGAATAATTATTTACCGTAAGTAAATGTTTAGTATTATTTAAAGAAATATGTTAATATTAAGATTTAGCAAATTTTTTTCTATGTGTTATTGTTTCTATGTTGTTTTAATTGTTTATCGTTATTTTACTTAATAGATAATTATTGCAATTGATATTGAAAGATAACAAAGATATGTAGGTACAAATATAGATCTTATCGAGATGTTTACGTTTTACGAATGCAGTGTAGCGTAGAAATATAATGTGTAAGTCACTTGATAGTACAATCATGAATGGATCAGAGATGCATGTAGTTTTATCGAGAGATTGAATATAATAGCACAGAAGAGCAAAACCAAAGAGAAGAGCAAAAATTCTCGGTACTGAGCAATGATGTCACAGCCAGACGATAGCCCTGAGAGAACGTTTACCCCGTGGCTCGAAAATAGGTTTATACGCCTATGTATAGCACTTCGTTAAATGTATTTAAACGTCGTACTGCGACGTTTAAACACTTTGTAGTTTGTGACGGTAGTGTACAAGCTGCTCAATGGAAAATTAAATTTAGCAACGTTCACCTAGATATCCTCTTTAGGTGCGAGATGTAAATGTTATATATTATGGGATATTAAAATCGACACGTTAAAGATATAGCATTATCGTTGGCGTTACTCAGTGATTTGTGTTATGACTTCCACCGTAATTACTATGCAGTCGCCTTTCGCGTGCGTTTAGCAGGTACTACATTACAAACGTTCCATTAGAAATTCGCTGGGTGGGTTAATTGAATTGTGCATTCTCTTGATTAACAGAAACGGCATTCCGTCTACGCGTGTCGTATTACTGAGGTTGTAATCACAAGTGCACTTGCGTCTGGCGAGACTCGCATATTAACGAATGAGAGCAAACACAGCAGCGATTCTCCGTCTTCAAGAGGATGGAGTTCGTCTCCCTCTGGATCGATATGTTTGCATCACGCGAGCTGTCAACATTGCACATTGCTACGATCTCTTAGGCCTACTCCTCTATTTTCATACTCTCTCCATTTATATCATAGTTGTTGTTGATCGGAAAAAGTGATTTTTTTTTTTTTTTTTTTTTTTGTTAAATGAGTTACTGAATTTTATTTAAAAGAATAGTTGATATCTTTCTTTCTCTGTTTTGTTGTTGAATCTTTTTTCGTTGGATTATCAGCCAAGGAAAAATACTGAATAAATAAAGAATATTGTATATATCAATATAAAAATAAAATCATCACAAATTTATGATAGCAAATAATATCTCTTTGCAGTGACATGACTTATAATTACATTATATAATCATGATCTTTGAAAGCACAAGCACAACCTTTGAATAATCAGCATGTGCTGTTGAGAAACGTAAACATTATCGCGAGAAATGGACTAGAAAACTCCGCTCTACCCTATTTAACTCATGTATCTTATCTTAAATACTTATTCTATATACTTATATTTAACAAAACAAAAATTATTATAATAAAAATAAGATACTTTTTAAATGACATAATTCCTTTTTTCAAACGCGAAGAATGCGAGAGCAATCGCGCCAATGCGCTTCTATTATTAACCTGCTTTTTCGCCATAGTTGGAAGTGTTTAATTAATATACCATAATGGAATTCCATATAAACGCTTTCTGTGCTCGCTAAATTAACCGGTAGACCTCGATCGCCTTGATGCACCGACCGCTTCACGCGAAAGCGACGACGCGATCCCACCGAAGGAGGACAATCATTGCCATCGCGGCTATAATCGGTCGATATGCGCCATAAATTCAAACGACGTACGTGTTCTTCTTTTGCAGGTTGTCCAGAATGGTTTAGAGATCCTCACGTATCTCGCAGATCGGATGGGTCACGACTTCAAACCTTACATCTCCACCATCATCCAGCCGACGATAGACAGGCTAGGTGAGTACGAGGCGTATTTGTTCCACCCATTTGTCTCGTAAATCGTCTTCGAGGAAGAATCGACTAGCACGATACGCGATATCGAAAATTTCTATTATTATTTACGACGATCGATAATTCCACAAACGGCTCACGATGGTCGATAATTGGCATCGATAGAAGCTCGTGTACATTTCGGTTTGTAAATATTCCGTATTCGCGATGTAAAGATAGTAGGGGATAATTTTAATATCAAGCATTAATTAGAAAGTTATACCATCCCTATAGACTTGTATCTCGAAAGTGTGATGAGTTTCGCGAACATTTCGCCGCGTATTGGATGAATCATCGTTAATCGTTAAATGAGTTTCAAATAGAACGATCCAGAGTGACGTTTAAACGCCTCTAATAAGGTTGAAAAAAAAAAGTCTATGACAGATGTATGTACCATATTTGTCGAGAACCGGTCTGCCGATCGCTTTCAGTTGTTCCGCGAAGCCGACGTCAAGAATAATCGCACGCACACGCGGGATCCAAAGATAAGATTCGATCCCAATTACACGTGTATACGAATCGACAATTAAATTCGCATTTGTTACAGGTGACAGTAAAGATGCTACCAGGGAGAAGGCGCAACTGGTGCTCCTGAAAATTATGGAAAAGGGATGCATGTCGCCTCAAAATCTTCTGGATCGACTTCGTCCAGCCTTCAATCATAAGAATGCAAAATTACGAGAGGAAGCCCTGATTCTGTTGACGACTACGTTGAACGAGTGAGTGATGTTTACTTGAAATAAATTATATTTACGAAAAGAAATTTTTTTTTTTTAATGGAATTTGAATTTTTCCAGACATGGAGCAGATGAGATGGCACTGTCGGGGGTAATTCCGAGCATCGTAAAGCTGCTGTCGGATCCGTCGGAAAAGGTTCGGGAAACTGCTCTGAACACGCTGGCGGACATCTATCGACACGTAGGCGAGAGATTACGCGTTGATTTGCAAAGGAAACACAATGTGCCGCAAGCCAAGTAAGTGAAATGGACGGAGAAAGCGATTGTCTTTCGGCTTTCGGTCTGCATAGAATTTCACGGGATATCTCTTAATCATAATTCAGTCATTCAAGAAATTTTTCTCTTCCTCGTTAAAAATTAATTGATCAGTGCGATGCGTTATAATGAAACCATAAACTCTTTAATCGCAACGTTATATAAATTCGTCGTCCATTCTGCTTACAGAATGCTCCTGTTAATAGAGAAGTTCGATCAACTGAAGGCCGCCGGTGATCTTTTACCCTTGGCAATGTCGTCCGACGGTGAGTAGACTGATTGAATTCTCTGGCGCTGCGGGGTACCACTTAATTTAAGCTCGCCATTGCCGCCGTTGACGACGACGACGACGACGACGACGACGACGACGACGAGATGACGATGAAAAGTAAGGCGCGAGTGTACCACGCGGCGCATATCGTTATTCAACGTGCGCACGAAGACTTGTATCGTGCTGCCATCGTGCAGCTCTAGAGTTTAACACGCGGCGATCCTGCCTTAGCATGCAGGAAGACTCCTCCATCTGTCTGCTCGCCCCGCCTCGTCCTCCTCGCAGCTTAGCATTACACGTATACATCATGAATATTTACCGAAGACCGCGTGATGAGAATATACGCTACTTCCACAGTTCCATGTACTTCGCAACCGACTTCGATTTAATGACATGTCGATATCTTGGCTCGATCGGAATTTTACTTCCACATTTCCGGCAAAGGGAGAACGAACAACATTGATGATATTGAAATAACGTTTGAAGAGGGAAGTCGTTCGCCGTTCCGTTACATAAAATTTCGTTTCCTTGAACGGTGATACAATGAGGTCGCTGATTCGCGTTATCTGCTCACCGACAGGGAGATTACATAATATTGCATTCAGAGCGATAGAATCGCGTGTGATATATCGTATCGGTGTATTGTTTCAAGCGTCGTACCACGCCTGTAATCCATACCGAAGTTGAAGTTATCCTGCTTCGAAACGTACGGCCTTGCAACGCTGCGACTGCTCGGCTTGTCGGCGTTCGAATTTCGGTTGCAAATATTACGTGTCGCACTCGCAATTGGCACCTTCGCTTCTCGATAGATAAATAATCCGCCGTCGAGATCGACGATGAGAGCAAAAGTTCATCCGGCGACAACTCCGCTGTTGCATTCCGTTTGCACAATCGATCGCAACATAAAATGTTTGCGGCTACTCGAAGAGGAACTTCCTCGAGTACACGATTGCAACACTCCGCAAATATCATCCTCGTGTCTATATCTTTCCCAAGGTTCATCGGAGTTCTGCGACATTTCTCGTTCGAATGCCGTACGATTATTAGTTTCTGTCATTAATTGCCGCGTTATTTGCGGTAGTTCCGCGAAAGGCCAGACAGTTCTCATCGTTCAACAAGATTATTTATCGTCTAATATAAATTATTCTTACAAATCAAACTAATTAAACATTCCACAGCCGCGAAATAAATGATAGGAAAATTGACTAAATAATTACTGACAATTAATGCGAGGCTATTTATCATTCTGGTGAAAGTAGCAATTAGAATCGATGGCACATATTGATGTGGCATGTTTATGAATTATACACTTTCGTTATCCAGTGAATTTTAAGTAGATTCCATGAAATTTTTTTCCTTTTGCCTTTCTTTTTTCTTTCTCACTTAAATCTTTGATCGAAGATGAGCGCAGTTCTGTTTCCTTTGCTACACCCTGCGCATATACGATCACGATTAGATCATACCTGGGCTTGGCAAGGAGAAGCCACGGCGCTTCGCTTGATTTCAGAGATATTAATAGAACTCAAAATAGCCGTGAAGCGCTAATGACGATCTTCCGCGAAACCTCCGACCATCCCTTTATGAACATTCGAACTTCCGGTCGTCCGGCAAAGTCCGAGGGATCAGTTTCGAGCGTTATTAGAGCAACACGTTCTGCACACTGATTACATATCTATGAATATTTCAGCCTCCTGTTAAGTTACGCTCTATAGCGGATTACAGAATCTTAGCGTTACTATGTCGAATGCCATGTACATCTAGCATGCCTCGCATATTAACTTGAAAACATATAATTTAATCGAGCTTGCAGCGCGAAGAAAATTCAATTTACTCTCTTAATTAATTCTGAAAAATCAATCTTTGATCTACCATGTTATACAGTCAGTTATCGATGTCTATCTGCCTTATTCATTCATGCATAAACGCGAACAACTTTGCGTACATTTAATTTTCTACCTTTTTATGATTTATGCATACTTCACGGTCATGACGTAATCACGCTCGTGACACCCGTATTTTGACGACTAAATTCTTGTTCGTCGAATACAAATAAGAGAACCGCAGGACAAACTTTTTTTTTTCATAATTCATTTTTTTTCATCGCAATAAAATTTCTGTGACAAACATGTCAATTGGATCAATTAAGAGAATATAAACCTTTTTGGTTAAAGCGAATCTTCGGCTGGTATTCATAGTCTGTTCTTATTTTAAGACCGTTTTAAAATGCTAATACAGCCCTCTGATTGGTTCATAACATCTTAAAACTTGAATATAAAATCCGACTATGAATACCGGCATTAGTGCTGAAATATTTCGCACAGATTAAATTTATATACATAAATTTTGCAAACAGAAATCTTTTTGGTCTTAAAACGCAATCGTGACTAGAATAGTAATGTCACATATTAAATTGACAAGCAATTTAATAATGTTGATGCTAATAAGATTGGAATCGTCAACGCGGTATCCTCGAAGCGACGCGGAAAGGTTGCGAGCAAATAAAAATTTGCATAAGTCTCGCTTTTCGCTCTCTCTTTCCCCGTAATCTCATGCAATGCGATTGTGTTAGAAGTTCGCGTTAAGGCACGATTACATCATGCTCTTTTCGAAACGCGTTCCTCTTGAGTCGTTTTTCGTAACAGAAAAGATATAGATGAAATCGATGGAAGTCGACGATAGAAGTGCGTGTGGCTATTATAAAAAAATGTAATTCATATATCAAAATGCAATACATGTATAAAATATATTTTACATATATATATATATATATATATATTAATTGAAAATTTTCTAACTTGTAAAATCGATGAAAATCGATGATAAAAACACGTGTGGCCACTGTAAAAAAAAATATATTTGTATATATAAATAAACTGACAATTTTTTAACTTATGTATTTAAATTCTGACGTGTTTACAATTTTCGGATATATAAATACAAATTGCTAGAACCGATCGTCAAATGAAGTAAAATCTTGAAGGTTCTAAAGATCTAGATTTAAAATTAAGTTCTGGATTTAAACTATCACATCTTAGCCCTCGCATAAACTTTAATTACGACGTGTCAATCGTCGCGAGAGGATAATTCGCGTCAGCGTTGCCGCGACAGAAATGACTTGTCACGCGATAGAAACTACCCTGTTTTACGCACCGTAAATTTCGCATCGCCACCCGCGCCCGCTTTTAATCTCGCGCCTTATTATGCGACTTTACCCCGAGGGCAGCAAGATGCAATGCACACGTGCGCAAGTGAAAGGTAGGGTAACACGCAGATTTATCTCTGCAAAGCAGCGCTCTGTTCCACGTTGCGCCGGTGTGCGCACAATCAGATATGAAAATACAGAATAATACCCAGCTGCTGCCCTTTCATCGCGCGTTCTTTGACCGTTGCCCTGTTACCCTTTACGTAGCCCGGCAACGGAATGAACTGTCCGAATCTCACAGAAAACTCGATTAATGATTGATAATGCCTGTTTCCACACTGAAAAAGGAGTATGATTGTATGAATCGAAATTTGGATTGGTGAATATGGATAAGTTTTAGAATTCTTTTAGTGAAATCTATTATAATTCTAGTTGAAATAACCAGAATTCTGATTGATATTAATTTGCTTCGTCCATTTTTAGCCAGAAATTTTTCGTAATGCATTATATAATGCAATGTATTATAGATTAACTTTAATCTCAAGTCAGTTTATTCTTCATCTTTTTCTCAGAACTGTAAATAGAAGAAGAGTAAAAATTGAACTGAGGTTAAAGGTCTATCTACATTGGAAACGAGCCAGAATTATTAATATAATTCTGTTTAAATTTCTATAATCATTACGATTTGCGTTGATAACATGACTTACGCTTTGCGATTTGCTTTGTAAGACGAAAGTCGAAAATGATGGAAGATGTGTTGGTCAACCGAGCAATCGGGAATTAGAATACTTGGAAAATCTCTGTTTCAGGGCTTTTGTATAAAAAGGGACAAATTGCTCTGTAATCGTACAGTAATTGTTTGCCTAACCCATGACACACGGCATCGCGCACGATAAGCGTGTTTATGCGCAATTATGCGCAATGTGTATGCGCTATTATGTAACGACGAGGTATTATCGCCTGCCTTCGGTGCAGAGGCCGTGTGGGCGAATCTTCTTAGCGTTGTTTCTCTAACGGCAGTATCTCACACGCGGGAATTGACGCTCACATTTTCCGATGCCGATGATCTCATGGCGCGTGACGCCACTCAGAAAATCTATAATCAACCGTCGCTCGCGGCTTTTCTTTTATTTTCATCCCGGAACTGCGCCCTGTTTTGCCTGAGGATCTTATCTTATCTCGTAATGAAGCATCTGTTAATTCATAGTTCTGCCCATGAACATCAAATGTCTTTAAGACAAGCTGTATAAATTATTATTCGTTCCGGAATTCAAATTGTACTTTTCGTTTAATGATTATGTTTAGAGTACTCGTATTCGCTTTTACGCAATATTCAAAATTTGCTGCAAAAACTCGCGAACAAGGTAAATAAATTAAATTTGCTAATTAAGATTGCATCGATCAACGATAATCTTAATTTGACGATAATCTCTTAAAGATTTTTTTTTTAGATAAAAAATTGGAAAAAAAAACAAAAGACGAAATCGAGGTCTACGAGAATTCCCAACCAAATCCGACTTTATTTATCAACTCGTAATTTTTCAAACCACCATCTTTGGCGATTAATGCTGTCAATTTCCTGCGCATTTTCGAGGCTCTCGTATCATTATTTTCTCGCTCGGCGAAGGTCGCTCGAAGAGTACCTAGTTTAACGGCCAATTATACGTCTCATTCTTTTTGCGATTCGAAACGCAAAAAACGGAATTCAAACGCCGACTTATTTTCGCTGATAATGGTGTCCGTAATGATCCCACGACGTTCGATTGCTCTTCATAAATTGACCTTCGAGCACAACATACCACTTTGATATTCAACGAAACCCGCATCTTCAATCGTTTGCCATTTTTCCCTAA